TCTCCAAATCAACGGTTCGCATAAAATTTCACGAAACGGGAGGCAAGGGTGGCTTTTGGAGGTGTAGGAGTGACTGTTTGGGGTGGAATGGCGATGAATGGAAATAGTGAATGCTGAGAGATATAGAGATTTGGTTGTTAGTGATATCGTGGTCCCTTATGCTCAAAATTTTGCCAATAATTAGTGTTGGCGGACGACAATGCCCGTACGCATCGCACCATATCGTAAATGAATATTTAAGGGACCACCATATTGAGGGGTTAACGAATTATAACGGGTAAGGGGAGGGCCAACGAAATGTTGAAAGTTATTTTTGTTATTGTTTGTTACATTTTTTCGCATAAAATATTCCAAAATGAACAAACATTTTTTTATTTAACTTTATTACCAATTAGGTAGGTACTTATCAGTGATAAGTTATCACCATTGCGCAATGTAAATGTAACTTATGTAACATTATCCTAACCACTCAAACAAATTGCAGTTATTTCGCCCAAAATATGAATCCCCATATGGCATTTTAATCATAAATATGCAAGAAACACGCCAGCAATCGGATTTTATTAAGATATTTAAAAGCCGAGAATTGTTTTAGAATTTTGATTCTTGGTGATTTTGGTTTTATCTGAAACTTAAATTTGTCAACTTAATCCTAATCAGGAGGTCAAAATTATAAAGAAAACATGTCACGAACGTAAATATCGGTTCAGGTTTAGTTTTTACCAAAATGTCATTTTTAAAAAGTGGTATTTGCTAAGGTCCCTCTGAAAATAATGGAAGTTTGTTGCTTGTCGCTTGTTCAGAATTATACCAAAAACCCTTAAATGTACTTTTTTGGAAAAAAATCATATTTTCGTTGCTAAGATTCCTTACTTACTTCATTATTTCAAAGTAAAAACGAGAAAAAATATTTCTTTTTTCAAACGGGGCTTGGAGTTTTTCACCGTTTTACATATCACCCTGTACGAAATTTACTTGAAGAACCATGAGCTTCATATCTATCAGTCCCAATTTTCAACTTACAGCCAGTTACACACATATAATACAAGATAAAACTTAAATATTTGTCCTTTACCTCTAAGACTATGTAGAACATCATATGGATTAAATTATTACTCAATTAAACTTTTTAATAATCTTCCTATAAAGGTAAGAGATTTGGAAGTTAAAGCCTTTAAATGTACAATTAAGAACTACTTACTGAATGGGGCCTTTTATAGCATTAGTCAATTCCTGAATTGTGATTTTGAAAATGTAATGTAGCCTCAAACTTATTTGTTTAATACTTTTGTTTATTTATCTATCTGATATTGTAATATATAAATACCTATTTGACATTTGTAAAATACAGTTGCAAGCAATAAATTATTATTATTATTATTATAGCATGAATTGCCAGAGGATGGGGCTAGTAGACAGACCAAAATAAAATCATTTAAGAAACAAAAAAGTTATGTCGTTTTGACACATTCAGTGGTGCGCAGTTTATTTTAAAAAAATTGTCATTTTTTGTTATTGTTATTTGGGTAATTTTTATCTATACAATTTTAATTTTTATTGATAACACCCGCCATTGACAAATTTTTAACCACAAATTCATTGAAATATTATCTCTTTAACAGTTTTTAAAATTTCCAAAATATACTTAAGTGAGATATAGCAATTTTTTGGTAAGCCAATCAGATTGCGTGATGTTCATTATTCTTGTTAAGTTTATTTTACTCAGATTTTCCGAAAAAAGTATTAAATTGTAACAAAAGATTGAATATAATATAATATAATATAATAATTGTGGGCTGTCCATAAATCTCGTGACGCTAGAGGGGTTTGAAGGACCGTCACGATTTTTCACGCTCGAGTTTATTAAAACGTCACGTAACAAAGTAAATTGAATGAAATTGCTTATTTTTAGAATATCCGGAATTTTTTGATGGTCTAGGAAAGTTTAATAATTTGTTACATGATCCTTTGGGGGTCCTTACATCGTCAAATTCTGCCAAGATGGAGGGTATGGAGGTCACTTTTTACCGTTTTTTATCATCACAAGATTTATGGACGTCCCGCAGTGGGATGGATAACAAATCTAGGAGGACAAAAGTACGATATTTATACGAAAAAAAACTTAAAAGTACCTCCAGGGGGGTTTTTGAGGTCGCTGAATTGATCTTTTACAATGTTTTGCTAAATATTGAAGGCTGGGGGGTGATATAAAAGGGATTAATGTTTTGCTTCAAACGTCATTTAAATGAGCAACACTATATACGGATTTATACGTATTATACGTATAGTTGACTGATATATTTTCTTTGGTATAAACAATATACGTTTTGGATAAACTCTTATTATATTATACGCATTCTAAACATTTATTATTGGAATATGATCTACATATAGTTTATTATATCTTCTTTAGATACCATATACGTGCAACGTATAAATAATATTTTGTTTAATCTTAAATATACGTATATTTTTTTATAGTTTTATACGTTTATTTAATACCTAGCACAATTATCCGTTTAATTTTAGTTTATAATACATTATTTAAATTATAATATAACAAACGTAATTGTTATGTTTGCTTTAACTATATATCAACGTAGATATAAAACATTATAATTCTTATACGTCAAATTTATTTCAATTCTTTGCTAATTTCTTCATTAGCAATATAAATGTATTAAACGTATACGTTATACTTGAAAAACATATTTTGCAATTTTTTACCCCCAAATAAAATCTTGTTATAAATGTATTAAAGTATTTAAGATCAATTTTATTTACCTACTTTATTAAATTTTAACAAAAAAAAATAAAATTTAAGTATTAGAATGAAATATTTTTTAAAATAAAATATATATAATATATTATTATTATTCATATAATAAATAAAACAATTGTTTCGAATAAATACATAAGAATTCTTATGTTAACATAATATATACTTTTGTTTAACAATAATTTATTTAATCAGACCTATAGGAATATATATTCTTTATGTGAATAATAATTTTTTTAAATTAAACATGAAAAAATGCCAAGTGCTACATGTAATTTATAAAATTATAATTTTATGAATAAGATCTTATTATTATTATTATTATTATTGTATTATAAACCTCGAGGTAAAACTCTTTTATAAAAAATTAAACTTTCCACCATATTCATGGAGGGGGAATACCTATCTCCCACTCTGCATGTTTAGATGACGCCATAACGCCAGACAGAGCTTGGCCCGTTTGTGTTTTGTGACCTAGATCCTAGGACCTAGATTTTGCAAAGTGTGAGCAACAGGTGGTAAAAAAAGGATTTGGTACCACAAGTGTGTTTTATCCTTGGTAAGTCCCTTTTATTATTTGATTTTTTAGTAAACTAGAGTTATTTTCATTAAATTTAATATCAAAGTATCCTATACACTGATTTTAAACTACATTTATACGTTTCTATTAAATGTTTAATTTATTAATTGACTTTGCATCATTTTTCAATTTATATTGTATGATAATTATATATTCTTGAAAGAAATAGGAAACTTATTTTTAGGTATCTATTGGGCTACCCATTTTAAGGTCGTAAACCACATTTTTGAAATGGGTATAATATATACGTTGAATACACGTTAGGTTTAAATTTTGAATATGACAGATCAGCTTAATATTCTAGGGTATTTTGGTTGACACCATTCGGCGCGATTTTTAAATATACAATTAAATATCGTGCCAAATGCCAAAATATCAATTAGTTGTCATTTTTTGTTTTTAATTGGAAATCCCATTTTTTTTATTTCGTTTGTAAAGGGTGTTTCCGTATAAATGGAATGCTCCTCTAAGTTTATTATTTAAATATATATAAAAAAATAAGACATACTTACAGCTTGTATGATTATTTTTGTATTTTTGTAATGTCTTCAAATAAAGATTTTAGAGAAGTGTCACGTTTAAACGGAAATACCCTGGGTACAGTATACCTATAGGTAATGTATACATTTTATACTAATATAATATATTGTTTATTTTGTTTTTATTTTTATAATTTTTATTATATTTTTAAAAAATTAATAAAAAATTTATCCGTTTTTACTTCGTTTTTATTATAGACCATTTTAAATTAATATATACTACTTAATTTATATGTATATTACAGTGGCGGATTGGGGATTTTGGGTATACCAATATCTCAGTTATTAGACATGGGACCCACACCAAATTTATAATAGTTTTTTATGACATTAAATAGACAAGTTCGGCGCAAACAGAATTTAAATTGAAGTTTGCGAAAAAAAGTTAGTTTTTTGTGTCGCCTCACCTGGCTTCTGGCCCCCCCCATTTGAGATAATTCAAATTAAAGTTGTGCAATTTATACTTCACTATAATTTATCGGTAAATTTAAAATTTTATTTGAAAAATCCAAATATTACAGATTTTAAACCATATTAAATATTTTTTTATTATAATAAAATAAATAATAAAAATTTATATAAATGTATAAATTGCACAACTTTAATTTGAATTATCTCAAATTGGGGGGGCCAGAAGCCAGGTGAGGCGACACAAAAAAGTAACTTTTTTTCGCAAACTTCAATTTAAATTCTGTTTGCGCCGAACTTGTCTATTTAATGTCACAATAAACTATTATAAATTTGGTGTGGGTCCCATGTCTAATAACTGAGATATTGGTATACCCAAAATCCGCCACTGGTATATTAATTACATTTAAGTATAATATAAAGTATACTATAAACATTAATATAAAAAGTACATTTATTAAACGAACACATAAAGCGTAAAAAATAATATATGAAATGCTTATAATAAACGTATATAATAAACGTGTTTTTATATGTTTCATGACACATTTAAAACAACGTTAATAACTATTTTAAAATTAAACGTTTAAGGAAAACGTAAAAAACTTTAATATACTACCTAGAAGTTATACGTCGAATTCTTGGACATTTTGCAGTATATCTAACTAATATTTTATACCTAGTATTCACTTACCGTAGTATATCATTTTATACGTTTAATAAACGAAAGAGTGTTGCTTGTGTTGCTTAATATGATTTTGGGGTCACTTAATCCATTTTCGTCAATATTTTTTCTATAAAATAAGTACATGGGGGTGTGGGCTGGTAAAAAGGGGTGAATTTCTAAGTTTGGCTTCAAAAACATCATTTGATATGTTTTCGAGGTCGCTGAATCCATTTTCGTTAATATTTTGGCCATACACGAGTATGGGGGTTGGTAAAAAGGGGGGGGTTTTAAAATTCTTTAAATTTAGTATACTATGTTCTGCTCTCTAAAAATGAATTAGTCAAAAATGACTAATTTAATAGTTATTAGTGGCTGTTTTTTCACTTGTACCCTGGTAAACCATGGAATACCATGGAATCACAAAATTTAACAGCCAATTCTTATGTAAAATTGTCCCCTGAATCCAAAAATGTCGTCAAAAGTTAAAAAAGTATAACAGTTTTTGAGATATAGACAATTTTGCATTTAATATGGAATTGACAATTTTACAATTTTACATTTAATTATGGTACATGTAAAAAGCAGCCACTAATAACTATTAAATTAGTCATTTTTGACTAATTAATTTTAAGAGAGTGCCTCGGAGAGTGCATATTTTTAAAAGTAACCCTTGTGATTTTTAATAAAATAGGTAAGTACGCGAGGATTAGGCTTACGTCTCGACCGCTAGGCGAGAGATTAAATCCAAGTGAATAATCCGCATTTATCGAATTAAATACTAGGTGTGCTTTTTCAACTCCTATTGCAGAATTTTTAGTGAGAGGAATAAAAATAAATAAGGGATGAATTAAAAAGTGAGGTTAGATTTGACTGATCTTAGATATTATTTAGTATACCAGGGGCAACTATGATGGTTTTAAAACTATCCGATTGGTCCAAATTTCAGTGAATAATCAACCAATTACTGATGCCTAACAACGTGAATAAGAAGTTCATTATTCCTGTTGCTAGGCGGGGTGGTTGTAATAGTTATTATAAAGGGAAAACCCAAATAATGTCAATATTATGCAATAGGAGAAGTAAAAAATACATGTTAAAATCACGTCCTTAGCACTCGTTTAGAAACACTTTTTATTATATATATTATATATTGTATAATTAGTTTTACCCAATTATTTCTTCCTAGACATATAAATAAGTAGAATCAAAAGCGAACATGTCACATTTTTGGCGAAGTAAAACTATACACTGCAAAAAATATCTTTGTGTAAATTCTCTGATTTTTTTTCTGTGTAAATTTTGTGTAAAAATCGTGTAAATACTTTTACACGAATGTTCCTAAATTGGGAATCAACACTAAAACGTGTAACAACTTGTAAATTTACACGTTAATGTGTTATAAACTTATATTTAATAAATATCGTGTTATCTTACACAAAATTGTGTAAATTTTAACAAATATCGTGTAAAATTTGCCCCACCCTTAATGCCGAAGCTAATCGCCATTGTGTTTGCTTGTTTTATGCCTTGCCTTCTGTGTGTTTATATATATTCTGCTGGTGTTTCTCTTATAATATATTATTTTGTGATACAACGTAAATAAACAAATACATATACATATGCAATATGAGATTTAAACTTCGACTTCACGAAACAAAGTGGGTGATGGCAAATTTGCCAGTAACACATGAAATTTTATTTTTTTTACCTAAGTAAATTTTAAACAATTAAAATGATCATGTGTCCTCATTACTTAATATTATAGATGCGGCCTTTTAGCTAAGATAAGTATTTGTAACTCGGAACAGTTTTTAACTCCACAGTATTATAATTTGTTTTTTTAAATGAATTTAATAATTTGCTTTATATAAATATATCATAATATAATATTATGTCTTATTGAAATTATAAAATATTTTTTTAATTAAAAATATTTTTTTTAAACTTAATTTTTATTTACACAAGTTCCCAATTTAAACGAAACACGCTAAATTATTAAACATTAACACCAACTGGTGTTAAATTTATTATCTAAAGTCGTGTAAAAATTACACAAAAGATGTGTTAAAGTTTAATTATTTTTCGTGTAAATTATTACACGATATAAAAACAAATCAACACACTAATGCTGTGTTAAAATTTTACACGATTTCGTGTGGACTTGGAATAACACAGTTTGGTGTTGGCGCGTGAAAGTTGTGTTAATTATTTTTTACAGTGTAATATACGTTCCATTCTTCTACAATTTCTCTACCATTCTAAAGGATTATTTGGTTACTAAATCTGGATATTCTGTGTTAAAACGGCATAAGAAAATCATCTTATTTAACTTAAACTAATTTTATTAAAAAAAAATTGACTTGACCAGTCAAGTCCAGGTTTTTGTTACAAATGCCGCCTAAGTTAGGATCTTTATTATGCATGGTATACACGGAAAAAAATAATCGGTAGAGGCTACCGATTGGCAAACGGTAGCAGCTACCGATTGCCAATCGGTAGACTCTACCGAAAAAATCGGTAGTCTCTACCGAAAAAAAATCGGTTCCCCCAACCGATTTTTATCGGTAGTAGCTACCGATTATTTTTCGGTAGTCTACCGATTTTTTCGGTAGAGTCTACCGATTTTTTCGGTAGCCGTAACCGAGAAAATCCGCATCGATGCGCTGTTAGAAAATTAAAAAAAATATATTAATACTTAAAAATATTAACATTTAAAAATAATATTAAACATAATTCAAGTTAATAAAAATTACTCTTTTCAGTCAAACATTTTGAGATGGTATTCATTGTAATTATTAAAAAATGCTATTCATAGAAATGGGTTTTTTTATCATCTATTTAAAAGAAAGTTTTGTAGCCACCAGACATTTAATTTAATATTTATTTAGAATTGTAAAAAATTTAATAAAAATTACTCCTCATTTTTAATATTTTTGTATTTCAAATTTATTTATACCTCAAAAAAAAATACTATTTTCTATTTAATAAAAAGCGAGTATTTAACTTCTCGCTAAAAAAATACAAAAATTTTCAAAAATTGGTAATCGATTTTTTCGGTAGCCTGCACCGAAAAAATCGGTAGACTCTACCGAAAATAATCGGTAGCTGCTACCGATAAAAATCGGTTGAGGGAACCGATTTTTTTTCGGCAGAGACTACCGATTTTATCGGTAGAGTCTACCGATTTTTTCGGTAGAGTCTACCGATTGGCAATCGGTAGCTGCTACCGATTGCCAATCGGTAGCCTCTACCGATTGCCAATCGGTAGCCTCTACCGATTGCCAATCGGTAGCCTCTACCGATTATTTTTTTCCGTGTAGGTATTTGCAGAATTTTACAAAATATTACGGGTTATACTCGGATATTTATTAAAAATTAACGTTTTACAATGCATTATTAATTTAAAAATTATCATTTTTCCCACCTGGAAACTTTGTTAAGTTTTTGGCATTTTCTCGAAACCACTGTTGTGTGACATGTTCGCTTTTGATTTTACAAGACTTAAACAATAATTGTTATAAAATTTCCCAGATTAAAACTAGTAGGTATACTATAGTAAGTTAAGTCGTAATTATTGTCTATCTATACTAAATTTCATATACGACGGTGTCATAAGGCAATAACCTTTTGAAAATACATAAATGAATTTTTAATGAAAACGAACAAATTTTTATTTTTTTCACAGTTTTTCCTGTGTCGATAACGCTCAACAATTTGTTGGATCCACCATCTTATTTTTTGTGAGTATATTAAATTGAAGAATAGGGTATCTAATTTGGTGATTGGCTATTATTTCCTTGTTTCTGCTTAATTAAGCTTAATCTTATTAACTAAGAATTGTTTACTAACGCTTTTAGAAAATTTACACTCAATTAAATTTGTTGCTTCTAAACTATTATAGTATATTAAATATGCCCACTAATTACCTAAGTAAATAATATAAGTACCTATTTATAAAAATTTCATGTTGTATGCTATGCAAATTGAATATACTTATATAACAATTTATATCGTAGCATAAATTATTTCCACTTAATTTAAGTTTTATATTAAACGGAACAAATATTTTGTTGTGAAAGGTAATGTTTAACGTTACACAAAAATATTAAGTGATAACATAGATCACCTTGTAGTCAAAGCTTTTAAGATAGGATCTTATGATATGCAATTATTGTACATTATAAATTATCGTCGAGCATAAATTTCACTGCCGAGGCGATAGCCAAGGCAGCAGATTGTGTGCGAGGCAATTAATAAGCTTTCGCCGCTGAATTTTGTGTACTATTTTTTTAAGCATTTAATTAAATAATTTCTTAAGATTCTGTTAAATCATTTTTAAGTTAGGTTCAACTGAAATGATGACATTTTAGCTTTATTTCTGCTAAATTTGCGCCAGCCTCTTTTATTTTTTGGTATCTATGTAAAAAACAATTATAAATTTTTGGATTTTTTAAATACTCAAAACATTCTTTTGAAGTATTAATTGTCCTTTTCTAGATTTAATTTCTGACCACAATTTTTTTTAGCTGATGCGCCAACCCCAACCATTGCGCCTTTTTCATAACTGGTAACAGAAAATGCCCAATCAACACTTAAACCCCAATCATGAGGCGCGTTACATATATTAGACAAGATATATCGAATTTTAAATTGCCCAGCACAACCGTCGGTAAAAAATGTTATATGTTCTAATAATATGTTAATTTTTAAATGGGAAACTATTTTCTTTGTAAAAGTCCAGACTATATGAGATAAATTATTACTTAAAATGGCATACGAAATCTTTTCTTTGGCGTTATTTAGTCACACGTCACAGGCAGCGTTTAAACCTTCTGTATTTTTCAATAAGTTTTTCCTTTCAGCCCTTCTTTTATATCCCCAGTTTTTTAATTTTTTATAAACTTTATATATTTTATAGGGTCTGCTTTAATTTTATCTCCACTTTTTCGTGCAGCTACAGCTGAATCCATATCTAAATAAAAGATAGTTTTAGCATTTCGAAGGGTGACAAGAAAAAACCTTATTTATTAGTTTTTGTAG